ACTTTGCCCACAGGATCTTGCAATATTCCAACTCAAGGCTTGAGCTTTGTCTTGAGCTCTTTCGGTTTCAGATGTGCTGCGTGGGTTCTTCCCTTTTGTTTTCAAACTCTAGGTCTCGGCACATTTCATGATCATAGTTTACTTTGTCTTCTCAGGCTGCCCTTTAATTTTTCTATTCAGCTCTTTGGGTTCATCGTTTCTTTGCCTACGAGCAAGTTTCAGTGCCTTCTGACATCCACCTTGGCCTTTTTTTCTTTCCTGTGACCTTTTGCTTTCTTCATGAATGATGTTTTTGATGACGTTCTACAGCTCATCTGGGCTCTGTTATTAGTGTTCAATGCAGCAAATATATTCTTGAGATGTTCTTGAAATTCAGGCAGGATAGACTTGGTCATTATTTTGGCTCTTGTTGACTTATTTTCATTGTCCTCAGCTTCCACCTGAACAAGAGCAAAATGATGGTCTGTTCTACAGCCAGCTCCTGGGTATTTTTAGCTGCTGAGAATGAGCTTTTCCATCGTCTTTCACAGATGTTGTCAATTTGATTTCTGTGCATCCCATCTGGAAAAGTTCATGTGCATTGCCACCATTTATGTTGTTGAAAAAAGGGTATTGCTATGAACAACTTGTTGGTCTTACAAAGTTTTATCGTGATATCCAACTTCATTTCTATCACAAAAACCATATTTTCCAACACTGTTCCTTCCCCCTCTCCCCAACTTTTGTATTCCAATCACCAATAATTGTCAATGCATCTCGATTATATGTTTGATCAATTTCACTGAAGATGTTGGTAAACTTCATCATTTCCTCACCACAAACTTTAGTGATTGGTGCATAGATTTGAATAAGAGTTGTATTGGTTGGGTTTCCTTGAAGGTGGATATAATCCTGTGACAGACAGCATTGTTCTTTAAGACAGATCTTGAAATGTCCTTTTAGACGATGAATGTCACCCCATTCCTCGTGATTGTCCTTCCCAGCATGGTAAGCCATATGCTTGTCTCATTCAAAATGGCTGATACCAGTCCATGTGGGCTCATTAATGCCTAGGATACTGATTTTTGTACATTCCATTTCATTTCAAAGCTCCCAGTTTTCCTAGATGCATACTCCATACATACTAGTAGATTCTTTTCCGCGGTGTCTCCTTCTCTTGAGTTGTGCCCTACCAGCAAAACAGGACCATGAAGGCTTTCTTTCCTTATATGGTCCCCACTCACGCACCATGGTTGACTCTACTTGGGGAAGTCCACTCCTTCCCAGTCCGTTGAAGTGCCCTCCAACCAAGGGCCATCCTCTGGCCCTGCCTCCGACAGCATTCTGCATCCTGCCAGCAAGCCGCAGTAGCTGTCCACTTCCAATTCTATGCAGAAGGTCTTCAATGGCCATTTACTCCAAAGTGGACAGCTGATTCTGTCTTCGTAATCTGTTCAGCTCTGCTGAAACCTGTTCACGTTGGGTGATCCTGTTGGCATTTGAAATACCAGTGACACAGCTTCCAGAACCACAGCAGCACACCAGCCACCACAGCGTGACACACTGACAGACACGCGGCACATATGCATCATAAGATTGTAGTAAGTGACTCTCTCACTCACTCACACTCACTCACTCGATCACTCTCACTCACTCACTCTCTCACTCGATCACTCTCTCTCACTCGCTCACTCACTCTCTCACTCGCTCACTCTCACTCACTCTCACTCACTCTCTCACTCACTCGCTCACTCTCTCACTCACTCTCTCTCATTCACTCACTCACTCCC